AATATTAATTGGATTAAATAATAATATGTTGGAAAATGTTATGTGTTTTTACACATTAATAATTATGTAATGTGTAACTTCAAACACTTCAAAAGTGATACACTCACGAGTAATTTATGTTGACAACATAATGTAAATATTAATATAAGATAAATTGTGTGTGGTATAACCCTATCTTATAAATACAACTTTAAAATTGTTAAATACATGCTAGGTAACCCGTGCTAGTTCAGATAATGACAAACAGCTACACAGAGGATCTACAAACAATGTAACCAAATAACACTCGGAAGTTCGAGCCAATTCGACATCTAGTACACAAATATAAAAGAAACACAACAAAAGTTATGAGGAGGTGCTCATATGCCCCAAGGAAAACGAAGTAACAATCAATGACATTTGTTTTGAATCATTCAACTTGTAAGGTTTTCGAAAGGAGACATTATATGGGAATTCAACAAAACTTTGATATAAATTCATTTAACCAAAACAAACTAACGCATACCCACACACAGAGCTATTTTATACCACTTCATTCACTCAACTAAGTTGGCAAAGGATAATCACTGAAATACATTAATACTCATCATAATAATAGTACGAGCAACAAACAACAATAAGAATAATATTTTATATAGTTTCAACCTTAGCAAAAAATTGGTTTAATTTCAATTCACTGTTCTTGGTGCAATACCATTAAATAATAACAAGAAAGCATCTTCTTGGTGCAATACCATTAAAAATAACAAAGCACCATTTCAACATTTTCCATCAGCGATATAACATATTCAAGACAAAAGTTGATTTTACTGCTGCCGTGTTGTCCTGTCAGCTTTATAAGTCATATTCTAAAGTTATAAGTAATATTTTCAAAATTCTAGTAATTGGATCTGCAATTAAATATGTATTTTAAGTAATTGAGAATTTAGCACTATGAATAGACTGTATGTCTAATTAATCAATGAAGATGTTTTGATTTCTATGTATGACATGTAGCAGAAAAGTATTAAATGCAAATATATAAAAAATAAATTACTCATGGCTTTAAAAACTGGAAAAAAAAAAGGTAGCACAAGTTGTGGCATCATGAAGTTCCATTCAAAACTTAGCAACTTAACCTAGCATCAAGAAAGGATATAAAGGGAAAAAGAAAAAGAGGGGAGAAAAAAGAAAAACACTGAATACATAAGTTATAGAACTCATACCTTCACAGAAATAATAGAACCCACCAAAAATCTTGCAATCTCTTGGTTGGTCTTGTGAGGTTCTGCATAAAAACTAAAAATTAGAGGCCAGTGTATATAACATAATAATGAAGCTGAAGATACAGAAATTTGGCAAAGAAATAAAAGTCCAGCAACACTTAGTCTTCAAAAGAACTTGTAGATGTCACAAAAAGAGTGAAATGAGAGACAGATGTCAGAAAATAATCATGGTTGTGCTTGCTTCAGAAGTTGTTCCGTAAATTTTTCATCCAGTATTTTTATTGTCAACTGTCTATGGATGTTTGTAAGAGTGATCCATTTATTCTTAGTTTATCTTCCATTTATTTAAATTCGAATGAGGATATGTGTTTTGATCGAGCACGATGGCGACATGTGATCCATATAGCCGAGACCACTTAGTGGGATTTTAACGGCTTGTTGTTGTTGTATCTTCACCTATCATATCCAATTATTACTTAACTAAAAACACATTACCATCAACTATTATCTAATCATATTACAAATATATTATTCAGTCTCTGTTTTTCTTCATTTCCTAATTATACATATTTGCTATTTTTCTACAAGATATCAAATTTCCATCCTACGTCAAATATGTTCTAGTATTCCTATCCATCAACATCAACATCAACATGCCCAGTATATTCCCAACGGGTTGGGGTCTGGGGGGTCAGTTGTACGCAGACCTTACCCTTGTAATTATACAAGGAGGCTGTTTCCATAGCGACCCAAGGTGCGTTGCGTCGTTTGATATATTTTTTTCTAGAAACTTCACTAATAGAAGAAGCACTAGAATTTAATTGAGCCATTTTGATCTAGTCCATTATTAGCATTATGCTAGGAGAATGTCAACAATGACTCTTCCATTTTCCAAAAATATATTCGACAATAACAAATCCAAGTTTGTTAGCTTGAACATGATGAAATCATTACCTTTAGGTTCCATGTGCAAGCAGAGTACATGATAGACAAGATTAAGAAATCAAAGTAGTTTATGAACAGTTGGCCTCGCTAACTGGTTTCATGTCACAACAGCTTGACATATGACAAAAAGGTTATCGCTAAACCGGTTTAGAACTCCTTTTAACCAAATAGACAAAATAGAAATATAGAGCGATACCTATAATGGCCACAGATGAGAAATAATTTATTCATGTTATTTGAACCCATTTAAACATATATCATGCAAACATAATTTCACACATGGAATATTCTCAGTCTAGTGACAGAATTCGTGCTTCATATTTGTGTGTCAAAAGAAACTCGCCCTTGAATGTCTAAGTCATGTTGTTTAAGTTTAACCTTTATAAGAAGTTTATTCGAATCAATTGCACCTTAATCCTATTATTTTGATACGCTCTTCATGTATATTTCTTGGCTTTCACAGTTTTGGTTTGTATATTCATAATGATACCATGAGCGCCTTCGAACGTCCTCAAGATATGTTTTGAGATACCGCTACACAATTACAACCGTTTTTTATCAATGAATACAAAATACCCATGCTTTAGCCCCAAGCGCAAAGACCCCTGGTGTCTGGTGCAACGGCAAGCACCTGTTTAACATGGGGAGGTGGTGATTTAGTAGCAGGCAAGGTGGCTTTGTTACCTATTACATTAGGAACTGCGGATTTTTTGGTACATCATATCCATGCATCTACGATTGATGTCACAATTTTGATACTCCCAAAGGTGTTCTATTTGCTCGTAACCCCCAGACGTTGGTCTCTAACTAGAAAAGTAAATGCTTGCGCCTGTCTGGACAAGGGGTGTAAAGCTAAACAAATTGCTTCTACTCCAAGGACTAAGAACACTGTTGGTTGTAAGAGATGTGAATCTGCCCGTCCAACAGATTTCTTAAGTGTTCGAGTTTATTTTTGGCATGAAACAACGAGCAGTATGGGTCTAGCTTATTGATACGTTCCATAAAAATCTACTTGAATCCATTTTCTTTTTATCTCGACAAAACCCGTGTTTTTGGAAATGACGAAAAAAAGGATATCAGGCAAAAAAGCTTCACCCTACAACCCTTGGCGGTATCATCTAAAAAGGAAAGGTTTCAACGAAGATTTGCTATATCGAATTAAAGCTCTAGACAAAAATTCTAGACCTTTGAATATACTCGAAACAAGGACTCGGTTATGTAAAAACCCTTATACAAAATGTCACAGCCAAGTTACTGCAACGCCAAGGTATACCTTGGCAGGAAAAAAAAAAAAGGCAAAATCCAATCCAATTTATCGTAATCAATTAGTTAACATGTTGGTTAACCGTATTCTGAAACACGAAAAAAAATCATTGGCTTCTCAAATTCTCTATCGAGCCATGAAAAAATTTCAACAGAAAAAAATCTACTATCTGTTTTACGTCAACGTCTAGCAAAATGCGTAGAGTAACTCCCAACATAGCACTAAAGCAAGACATGTAAGTGGATTGACTCGACAAATTCCTAGTGAAATAGGATCCACATAAGGAAAAGCACTTGCCATTCTTTGGATATTAGCGGCAGCCCGGAAACGAATTACAAAAGAAGTTCTTTCAAACAAAAATGTGAATTAGGAAAGATTGGTCGATGAAATATGAACCGACGACAAAACTTTGATATACCCCAGTATATTTTTGTTACCACGAGACATATTGACAGTTGTTGATCATTTGATTGGATTCCAAATTGGAATAGGTACCCGACCATCGAGGTTAATCCACGGAAAGAGCAAGCCGGTGGGAAAAGCTCCAATCAAATAGAGATTTTTCCAGCTTCAGCAGGCTTAGCTCCATTCTAGGGATACGGGAGGTGATTGGTAAGAGTGCTTGTACGCACGATCCAGAAATCGAGATTGGGTCCAATGGTCGGGGTGGTCCGGGTTTTACAGGTTATAGCCCAAAGGGTTCTAGGAAAGAAACGTCCCTTCAATAGAGCCAGAATCGGGCTCTTCAAGCCCTTTAATCCAGTTGTAGTCATTTAGAAGTGCTTCGCTTCACAAAAGGGTCTTCATGCTTTGTCGTCCTAGCGCTTCGCACCTTGCTTTGCTATAATGTGAAAGTAGAAAGGTTGATATGAGTGGCACATAGGAGTCACCTCTTAAAGTTTACTAAATACCTCCTATATGGACTGTGTGACTCGTTTTACAAATAGACTATTCCTTCTCCCAGTCGTATATCTCAATTACATCGACCCTCTCTGACCCTCTCCTTTCTCGTCGAGCATATTGGTAGTTAGAAGGAGAGCTATCTTCTTCAATTGCGAGTGATTCGAGAATAATTTCGTAGTACCCGCATCTGTGGAGCTTTCAGGGCCGATAACCTCATCGACGTCAGAGCCAATCTCAAAACCCTAATATCACCCTCTGAAAAGAAAGGACATTACTTTGACTGCTATGCTTCTTTCACTTGCTTCCAAACCCATCCTTACTCAAAAGCTTTGAATATTCTACTCGAGAGAGAGAGAGATCTTGCTTATGCTGCTTTCTTTTTATCTCTCGGTCTTTCCTCTTTCAATCGCTTGAATTGAATCAGTCCAACCGGGAATCTTGAATCTAACGTGATTGCATCTGTCTGACTAATGGGAGAGATTGGCTACATTAATCATGGTTCATAGTTGCAGCAAAAAAAAAAAAGGCAGATTGCCATGCCAATAGTAATAGAGCATTCATTTAGTTATGAAAGTAGCATAAAAAATAGCTGTAACTTGATTAAACATGCTAATCGCATCTCAAACTTTAACTTGATTTAGCATGCTTATCACAACTCACGCTTCAACCAACCTCAACATGAGGAGAATGCATTTTTGGGTTCGCAAAGTCTAGCATTCTTTAGCTGGACTCACAAAATTTCTCAAAGAATATTGAACCATGAACCTTGTCCCGAATAAATTTATGTTTAGAAACCAAGAGAACAGTTTTACTGCGTGAATCTAGACTTCAATATCAGAGATTAATATATTACCTTTGCATCTACGACAGGGGGACAACTCCCGGGCCGGAAGAAAACCAAGAAGGCAGTAAAATCTTATCAGCAAGCCACCAGCATTATATCCTTCAACTTTTCCCGCAAAGACGACTCCCTTGTCCAAGTACACCCTTGCAGCTTTCCAATCCGCAAGCCTCTACTTCTTTATGTAACAAAGGAAATAAGTAAAAAGCTCATAATTGACAGTCATAAAAGAAGTATCAAGTATCAAAGTAATCAGATCAATAATCCTAGAATATTTTAGAGAAATCATCCATCCAAACTATCTACAGTTGCTCAGGATTCTCCTGTTCTTCTTCGACCACATTCCAAACAAGCGATGAATCGAAAATTTCCAAGCAAAAACAAGAGAAACACACACGCACCCGGGCACGGCTAGGATCGTCAATGTGTAGAGATGGATAGAGCCCATCAACTGAGCTCGTGCTGCTGCCATTTGAAACCGACACTTTTAAAGCGCCAAGCGAAGCTGGCCTCCTCTTGTTTGAAGGGAGGCTGCAGGAGAGGTTTATTAGGGGGTTCTCATATCCGCCGTCGGTGTTCGAAAATTGGGCGAGAAAGGAAAAGCCGCCTGCAACTGAAGGTGCGGTGAGCAAATGCATTTTGGATGTAAAAAGGTAAAGATCGAAATGAAGTGTGGTTTGGGGCCAAAAGGATAGCCTTTGGTTACTGTTGGGGGGAGGGGGTGGGGGTGTTTTGTGGTTTTGGTTGGGATGAGCGACGTGCGTCGTCTTCGTCATCCAGCCATGTGGCATATCTATGGTCATGTTTAGCAATACCCGAGCTCATGTTTGATTTTTAGGGTTAGGCATGATATCCCGCTTAGAAGCCCGCCGGATTGGGTCTATCCGGGATAAAAAAAAGTTTTTTATTCCATGAAATTGGGATAATTCAATGTTGGTATGGCTCATATATTGACAAAGGAAAGGGGCAGGCGGCCCCCGCGGTACGGTACAGGGTATTTAAGTAAATTTATACCTTGTAGGGTTATAGTATAAATACATGGTGTATTGATGTATTTGTTACTATTGAATAATAAAAAAGGATCCCTCAGCCGCCGTGGACGTAGGCACATTTGCCGAACCACGTAAATCTTGTGTTGTTTACTTTCTCGTTTTTAATTCGTATGCTATATTGTCATCGTTTCACAACATTCAATCCCGTCATTTACATGGTTTAGTCCAATCCCAACAAGTTTAAAGTTGAATTTACTTCATTGTGAAATTTTTCGGACAGTTTTGATTCTCCCTAACATACTTTTGTAGTATTTTTGGGCATGTGGTAATCGAATTACCCGACTCCGGTTGTTCTCAAAAGAAGTCTGTTCAGAGTTTCGTTCGCTACCTAGTCGTCAAAGTTACATAATCAAAAACAAGATCCTAAATATTTTACTCGCTTGAAGGGATTGAATTGCACGAAATTACGCTAAGAACATGAAAGCAAACGATGCAAGATGCAAATTGAGAGAACAAAATCGAAACTTTGGTCTACCGGAATCTCCATGACTCAAGAAAAAGAAAAATAAACAAGTGAAACATGCGAGCATAGTGATCCTTGGTATTCTAACACAAGCTTACTACACTAAATCATCGTGCTTTGAACAAAGTCGAGACCTTAATATAAGCATGCATCGAATCCTAACACACGAAAGTAAGCAATGAAAATAAAGCAAAAACCTAGAAACGAGCATAAACACACAATTCGACAAACAAACTCGAAATAGAAGGGCCTAGGCAAGGTACCTACTCTCTTATTGCATGCTTGAACGAAAATAGTGAATAAAGCTTGAAACTTGGACAAAAATAAAGTTACCGGAATTCCGCCGGAAAAGTAGAGTCATGGATCTCAAAGCATAAAAAAATAAAAGAGAGAAAATTGAGAGAATTTCCCAACTTAAAAGTTGAGAAATGAGGGAAGATGTTCAAAATTACAAAACACAATGTCTATTTATAGCTACACCACAAACACACACTAAAATACACTCATTTAATGATAAAAACTCGCAAGGTAGGATGAACTCGCGAGCTAAGGTGAGATTTTCGCTGGCAATGGCGCGAGACTCGCGGGCTAGGCAGCAGGAGGTAGCACTCACGGCATCGGGGCAGTTCGTGGGCGCGGAGGGTGAACTCGCGAGCAGGGCTGGCGTTTCTTGAGCACTCGCGGGCCGAGAAGGTTTCGCGGGCGCGAAACTTTGAACTCGCAAGCTGGGCAGCAAGCTGGCGGAACTCGCTGGTAAGTAGGGATTCGCGGGCGCGAGTGTCGGAACTCGCGAGGTAGGCAGACATGGCGGGAACTCGCGGGCCAGGCCTCCTTCACGGGCGCGAACGACAGCTTCGCGGACTCGCGGGTTTGCTAGCAACACTCGCAGGCTGCTGTTACTTCACAGGTGCGGGAGTGCGGCTTCCGGGCAGGGACGCGGGTCCAGCCCCGGTCATGGTCCGGGACGGCTGGGTGGCTCGATCAGCTCGGCTCGGACGACTTGTTATGTTCGGCTCGGACAAATGGACCTAATAAACAAAACAATTGCTCGAAATGGTTCGTGTGGCTCGGACATGCTTCGGAAAGCTCGGAAATGGCTCGTCTTCCCAAACTCGAATAGTGTGAACCTAAACAACACAAAAAGACAAGAAAATTACGCCGAACCACAAAAACACAATACGAGAATAAAAATATACGAAACACGATAAAATCGACCGGTCGACACTAAAACGGACCTAAAAATACTAAACTCAAGCACATAAAACACACAAAAATATGCGCAAAAACACAAGAAACAACTCCCTCACACTTAACTCTTTGCTTGTCCTCAAGCAAACAAAACAACAAGTAGCTTGATAAGAAAAATTGAGAAGTCCAAATTTAACAAGCATGCGAAATGAAACTCTCATTATCATCCGGTTATCTCTAAAATCAAAATTCAATCCGAGACACGGTCCCCACATAGCGAATTCATACAAAACAAAAATTTATCCCAAGTCATTCTACACATGATTACTCGACTCAAGCTCCCTCTTCTGCATACACGTGCAAAAACTATAAATGGTCTATAAAACACGTAAAATAAGAAGCATAAGACCAATAAGCCAACTCCCATTCTTTTTGTTTTTTTCTTTTTTCTTTTTATATCTTTTTATTATTAATGAGCTACTTTTTTCCAAATGAGAGCCGTTAGGACAATTATTACCTAGGTTTATCCTTGGGGTTTGTCCCCAAGTCTCCTAGACAGGTTTCCCGTACTCATTAACTCGGTTTATCTAAAAGACTAACCGAGCCAAGATGAGCTTAATCCTTTCAAATCTCACGAACTCATTTTCGTGAGCTTCTTTTTTCAAACGAGATTTTCCAGACGAGATGATCTAGGTTTAACCTCGAGGGGTTTCCTCGAGTTTTCTAAACCGCTTTCCCGGGCTCATTATCTTAATCCACGAAGTGGCTCGAAATAAGAGGAGCCTAATCCGTACTTCCTCGCGAACTCATATTTATTATTCTTTTTAAGGGAGTGGCACACAATGATACATCAAGAATACAATAACATGAACATCAATAATCATCAAGACGTACCATAAGTGCATAGATAACACGTTTACAACGATAATCGAACATAAGGTAAGCATGCCTCAAGACAATCAATCGAGAACAAACAAGGGACAAAACAATTCTGTGAATTCACATGCGGGTTCCAATGTCAACAAATTATCATTCAATTTTAGGACACCGTCCAATTCATCAAGTACATAAAACATGAATGTTACTAATGAAACCAATCAACAATCTTGACTCACCACTTAGCTATATTGACTCTCAAACAAACATCAAGCTTCACGCGGGAGAGATGACTCAAACACACAAAACAACCATAAAAACCGGTCCATGACTCAACAAATGCGAAAAATAAGACGAAAGGAATATCACTTAAACATGCATAATCACAAAAATCCCTCTCCCACACTTAAAACAAAACAATGTCCCCATTACTTGACCAAAAGGCACAAGAGATAGCACATAATCATGTAAGTTCATGCGATTTAAACGAAAACAAAACATAATAAACAAAAATACGACAAGAAGACAAACACGGAGACACACAATAAACAACTAAAGAAAAAGAAAATAGGAAAAGAAAATGCGTACTCTAAATGGTGGTGTTCCACCGTGTGTCTAATGGTGTTCGTCCGGTGGGAATAATGAGAAATAATTCGAAGGTCCTCGAGTGCAACATAAAGCCATCCAAACGATTGAACAACGAAAACATAGCGATCCATAAACCAACATGGCACTATGGCATTTGAAAGCATAAGAGAATCACGTCCTTAGGCACCGAGTAATGGCCACATGTATGCTTCCCGAAGGGATAATAACCGAGAATTCAAAAACTCGACGAAGACACACATATGCGTGAAAGCTCAAATACCGCCCACACTCTCAGATAATCAACAAAATCTCCACACGAACCTCAACACCGAAAGACAACAATGCAACTCCTCCAAATTTTCAAAACAATCTCAAGAACCCCCGATTACACCTCCCCAACAATTAGTACAAATCACTCTCGAATAAATAAAATAATGTCCAGTTCAAATACAAATGGCTCGAGTTGGTCTAAGTGAAATACCTCGTAAAACAGTGATCTCAGCGCCAAGAGTAAGAGTAAGAGAACTCGAGCAATGAACCTCGACAAAGCTCCAAGAGAGTGAAAAAACCAATAAAAACGGGTGAAGGACGTAGGATCGCCGTAAAATAAGGCTCCCGGGAGGTCGAAAATGTTGTTTCCGGCCGGAAAATGTCGATGGTGGCCGAAAAACGAGCCCAGGAAGGTTCGCCGAAAAAGTCATCGATCGCCGGAAAATTTTAGCGACGGCCGAGAAATATCGCCGGCGGTCACCGGGTGCGCCGGGGATCGGTGGTTAGTCCGATGGCTCGATGTGGCTCGGTGGTTCTCGGGTGCAGTGCATGCGTGCACGGGACATGTCTTGGAGTACTGGGGTCGCCTGGTTCACGCGGGTGCAAGGCTACGCGCGAGAACGATGGGGCACGCGGGGTGCGCTGGGCACTGGCGTGGAGGCTGTCTGGGACGCTCGCGCGCTGGGCACTGACGCGCTGGATTTCGCGGGCACTGGGCAACTCACGGGTTGGGCGGATTTTTTTCGCGCCCGCGAATTTTCAATATTGTCCAGAACTCTAGCCCGCGAACTAAGTTTCGCGCCCGCGAATTTTTAAGCATGTCCAAGACTTGTAACCAGCGAAAATGACCTTCCCCCCGAACTGTTTTTCGCGGCCCGCAAATTTTAGGCTCATTATCCAACTTCCACACTTAAGGCATTTTCATGAATTTTCACACCCAATTTTCAACTCAACTTCCGAGCACCCTATTAGCTCGATTCTCGGCCCGTTTCTACCCAATTTTTTTTTCTTTTTTATTGACTCGGCTCTAACAAGTCGGTACTGCCGAGCATGTCGGCACGAGCTATTTTCATCAATTTTCACCCATTAACCAAATCTTCACCACTTAACTATATTTCAACCCTTTTTCAACAAAATTTGGCCCCAAGTCCCATTTTCTTCTTCCAAAATATCGTGTGTCGTGTGCTTTGCGGGGCTATTT